AAACGTTTTACCTTTCTAACTTTCAGGAGAGACGCCCATTGAACCTTCTCGGGTTAACGTTTCCCGCTGATATGAAAAGGGTTAATTAAATCAATTACTCGTTCTACTGGCAGAAACCGTTGTTCAATGTGCCGTGCTTAGATAATGTTTCTCGCTAGAATCAATCTTGCACATTTATAAGTCTACCATACGTTCATGAATTGAATATTACTGTAAAATCTGATCTGGTGCTTCTGTTATGTATCTAAGAGATGCTTGATAAAATCTCCAAAAGAATCTGCAATGTTATCGGCCCGGACTTTTTCTTACCGATATAAATCAACTTCCCTGTGAACTTTCTATAAATACGTTCATGATAACTATTCTGGTGATCTTATCTTTCCTTTCACGAATTTAAGCATAATACTAGATTGGCAGTTAGGTCTCAGCATTTTACAGTTGTAATAGCTAGATGTAACCGTAAGTTCTATGCTAACAGTTTGTGGAACTCTCTTCCGCCTTCTTGCTTGCTTAGATCTTGAAATGTTTAAATGCCATGACAATCGTTATCTTCTGTCTTCTTAATCCCTGATATTTCCTTATTATCTCCCCTTAATACTTTTTTCTCGGATTCTTTCACTCCCAGTAGCCCCTTGCGTCTTGGTGATTGCAACGCTTTCATTGTGATGAAATGGTTAAAAAATGAGATTAATAATCAACACTAAATTAAATGCATTGACGGTGAAGGATATTATATTGACATATAAATATTTGCCTTACAAAATAAATTACTTTTTTAATTAATCGGCGATAAATATTTGATGTACGACATCAAATGGATTTCCCCCTATCAGCAGAAAACAGATAGACGTCTATTAATGTTCATTGTAATCGCGTACGAACTCTTAAAATAGCGCATTAATCGACGCCTACAGATGTGCTATGGTTAACAAGCCCGTCTAGCAAGCAAATACGTTGATGATATTTACTAGTTTTATGACTTTTTTTTCTTTGGTTAGATTCATGTGTAAATTAATGATTGGCTTTTGTGGTTAAGCCAGTTACTGATTCTGAATTCTCGTTTTACCCTTGAAAATAATCAATGAAAATCGTCGTGTCTATCTGGACTGGAATAAAAACCATCCCCATTTGTTTGTAATATAAAATTACGATAGCCGCAAGGCTGACCAGTAGATATATATGAACTAATTGACCCAGAAACAATACGTGGAGACAATGACAGATTGATTTGAGACAGATACAAATAAAGTTTTATATATGCGTAAAAAATCAGATATAAATAACATGTATCTATAAAAAGACTATATAAATAAAGACAAAAGAAAAAGACTATATAAATAAAACATAAAGACTATATAAATAAAAATGGTAAACGTTTCGTCCTCTGATTCGTAACAGCCAATATTCAAAAGGGCAAATTGGAGAATTTGAAAAAGCGTGTTAACATAGTTACAAATATTGGCAGCCAAATTTTAAAAGTGCATCCTGTTCTCGTGAGCAGATGTATAAATATAATTAACACAATTGGTTAGGTGATAGAAGAATATCAATTAAACGATCATCAATGTGCCCGGTTCTATAACTATGACATGTTCTCGGTACTGAGGAAGGCTCACTCTGATTTTTTCCGAAGATTTTAGAGTCAATTTGTATTAAGTCCTGTCAGCCAATTTGTATTAAGTCCTGTCAGCCATCAGCAGAAAGAATTGTTGGGCTGAAATATACTAGCCTTGGATGCTTATATATTTATTATATAACCTCCCCGCTTTGGTTTTTATAATTTTAATAGCAGTGCAAATTTCTCGTTCGCGATTGAGTTCTGATGAGTGAGGATCGATAAAACGTTTATGCTGCTTTTTTCTGTTTATTTTTGTTCCGATGTTACCAATTTCAAGTAATGTAAATTTTTTTTTATTTACTCTCTCCTTTTTTATTATTTCCTTTTGTTCTTTAAAATGTCTATTTTAGTCAATAATATTAAAATATATATTAAACAAATATATTTGCAAAAATGACGACCTAATTTAAAAAAAAAATAAATGCAACTGCCGAAAAAATATGATCTGTTCCTTAAACAGTTAGTTTTATGCCCGATAACCGTATACCGAACGCACATACGCTTCGGTAACAATGTTAAATTTTATTTTAGTTTCACTGAAAATCCTTGGAAATTTCGTTTCTGCCATCATCGAATGACTTTAGGCAACATAAAATGCAGAAACATCCCTTCTCTCTTTAAACATTTCTGGTCATTAAAGAATGATGGTAATTCACCGTTTATCAACTGAGATATTATAGCAAGAGCCAAATATTATAACGGGAAAGGAAATAGATTTAACTTATCTCTTGTTGAAAAACTGACATCTTAAAACACTTAAATAACCCTAACTTATTAAACTAGAGAAATGAATTAATGGTTACATGTAGGCATGAAAATAATTATCTGCTTAAATACGTTGATCCAGATTAATTTTTAATGTAAATTAAGGTTTATTTTTAATGAAACTTGGGGTTTGTTTTTGCTGATTTTTTTAAAAGAATAAGTAAACTCCCATTAATATAAGAACAAGAAATTATTATTCAAAACTCTAAAATATTTTTTATTTTTTTTACATATGTATACAAATCCCGTTTATTCTAGATGCCAAATATAACTTTTAAAATTAAAAAAAACCCTGCAATCTCAGTATAATATAATAATATATAACTATGCCAACATTGTGATAACCGGATATATTTATTGATAATTTGTTACATAATGGTCAGTCTATTCTCATCACATGAAGATTTTGATGTGCCTGAAACTCTGACTCGTGCTTTTGGTGAGCGATAATATGTATACTTATATATATGAATGAAAGTGATCTATAAAAAGAGAAAAAAAAAAGTAATCAAACGCATAAAGTATGTGAAAATGGAACTAATCGACTGCGATATTGATCAGTGAATTGCCACGACTGAAATTTTAAATTCGCTCGATTTGGTCAAATCTATCGCCATCTTTCGTCATTCTGACATCAAATGACTAAAAGTGACATATTCACAAATACAGCAGACACTGAATCGAAAAAATATAAACGCATCATATTTTAAAACCGATGCAATCAGTTTTATATTTTTTATAAAGTCAATACAAAAACGGGTAAAAATAAAACAAGGTACGTTCAACATGGCTGAAAGCAGTAATAAATCTAAGCAGTTCTTAGATAGGTGACCGCTTCAAAACATTGCTTCCTGTAAAAGATTTCTTGGTCTTGTGACTGATTAGGAAAAAGAATCAAATGATTAGTACGAAACTCACATGCAAATTAATTATTACTTCCGGACAAATAAATTTTTAAAAAGGTTTACTCTGAGTACGTACACACACACACACACACACACACACACACACACACACACACACACACACACACACACACACACACACACACACACACATATATATATATATATATATATATATATATATATGTGTGTGTGTGTGTGTGTGTGTGTGTGTGTGTGTAAAAGGAAGAAGTTATAGTTGTTCCAATGAGAGAAAACTGTATATATTAAAAGAAGGGAGAAAACGCAAACGTTTTTTTAGTTCTAATGTGTAATTTCTTTTTCAAATATATATATATATATATATATATATATATATATATATATATATATATATATATTTTCCATAATTTTGCAACACGACTTTCGGGTCTTGCCACCTTCTTCAGGCAAAGAGTGGATATTTCCACGTATTATTAAAATGAATTAATTTTCCTTATGTTTTTCGATATTAAATATTCTGAAAGTTAAACATCCTCTTTTTTGTGTGGTAGTGACACAAATGTCTTTCTTGGACTGGCAGTGAGAAAGTTCTGCATTGAAGGGCAATAAAACAATTAAGACTAGGGTGAGGAAAGATAAGTGTATTCTTATCTTTTAATGGCCCCTGTGTGTTCTTAGATCTATTTCCATTTTTTGTATTGTGTGTTTTTGTCAGCATGCGTATGTATACGTATATTCCCTCTCCATTTTCATACATAACGTCTTATCATAAGGAATTAGTATACACATATATATATATACCCACCCACACACACACATATATATACATACATACACACATACATACACATACACAACGTCCTATTGTCAAATGTTGTGTAGTGTTCGTGCGTGTGCTTGTGAGCAGTCTTGTTTTTGCCAATATATATATATATATATATATATATATATCAGTATGCGTAAGTATACGCATATTCCCTCTCCATACATGCATACTGTCGTATTATAAGGAATCAGTATACATACACACATACACACATACACACATACATACATACATGCAGAAACACACATATACATACATACACACACACACACACACACACACACACACACACACTTCCCATGTTTTGTAGGGTTTACGCGCGTGCCTGTGAGCAGTCTTTTTTTTGCCAATATGCGTATACATATTCGTGCTCCACAATTACATGTTGTGTGCTTTTGCATGTGGGGTTATGATCTATTTAGTGCTGGTTTAAATTTGTTTATAAAGTTTTTTTTCTTGCATTTGTAGGTAAGAAAAATTGTCTGTTTGGTATATTGGCATAATTTTAAATTCACCCTGGTTACATTTATAGATGTTTTGTGATACAAAGAGTTTTCTGTTGTCTGGTAATTTTATGTCGCTTTTGTGGAGGGAAACTAGTGTTTTGTTGTGGGCTGATATCTATATATGACTTCTTGCATTTTGCAGTTAGCGGTTTTTCTTCTTTATATATATATATATATATATATATATATATATATATATATATATATAATATAAATAAGAAAATTGAAATTGCGTTTGGTCATCAACTACTGCAGTTTCACTCCAAAAGGATCCTTAGGCAGTGAATAAAATGAAAATCACAGATGAAAGTCTTTACCAAATCACGGAATTCATATATTATTGTAGTCCTCCCCTACTTACGCACATTTTCATTCTACTCGGAAATTTTTCCGCTTCGATGGTCCTGTGCGTTTTCCTTCGACGCTTTCACTTCTTCCCCTTCATTTTCTGTCTTCCGCCTTATTTGATATCTTCATACTTAACTTTTCTACATATCTCCCACTTCCATAACTCTTTTCTTTTTTCTCTTCGTCGTTTCCTCCTCTCCCTTTTACTCCCCTTTTACCCCTTCCTCTCTTATTATCTATTCTCATTCCGCTTCCTACTACTCATCTCCACCTTCTATGTTTCTTTTCTTTTTTGTCTTCGTCGTTTCCTCCTCTCCCTTTTACTCCCCTCTTACCCCTTCCTCTCTTATTATCTATTCTCATTCCGCTTCCTACTACTCATCTCCACTTTCCATAATTCTTTTCTTTTTTCTCTTCGTCGTTTCCTCCTCTCCCTTTTACTCCCCTTTTACCCCTTCCTCTCTTATTATCTATTCTCATTCCGCTTCCTACTACTCATCTCCACCTTCTATGTTTCTTTTCTTTTTTGTCTTCGTCGTTTCCTCCTCTCCCTTTTACTCCCCTCTTACCCTTCCTCCTCTTATTATCTATTCTCATTCCGCTTCCTACTACTCATCTCCACCTTCCATAATTCTTTTCTTTTTTCTCTTCGTCGTTTCCTCCTCTCCCTTTTACTTCCCTCTTACCCCTTCCTCTCTTATTATCTATTCTCACTCTGCTTCCTACTACTCATCTCCTCCTTCCATGTTTCTTTTCTTTTTTCTCTTCCACTTTTTCTCTTTTCCATTCTACTCACCTCTTTCCGTCCTACTTATCTATCCTCACTCCATTTCCTCCTACACATCCTCTCCTTCTATGTTTCTTTTCGTTTTTTCTTCTACCTTTCGTCCTCCTTTTGATTTTTATTCTCTTCCTTTTATTCATCTTTTACTCCTCCCCTTCTTATACTTTTTGCTTAATTTGTCTTATTTTATAATCTTTTCAATATTTTTCTTTCTTTTTTATTCTCATTTGTTTTTCTTCTTCCCTCCACTTCCCCTCCCTTTTTATCGTTTCTCTTTAATTGTCCTCTTTTTTTTCAGATATTCTCTCTCTCTCTCTCTCACTCTCTCACTCTCTCTTTTTCTCTTTGATATTCTGCTCCTCATCCTCTTCTGTGGTTTTTACTTTTTCGTCTTTTCCCTCATTTTCTTTTCTTTTCTTCGTTTTTCTTTTTATACATCTTCATTTTTACTCTTCTAATAATTATTTTCTCTGACCTAGCGTTTTATTTTTAATATATTATTTATTGTTGTTCTCACTCGCAAATCTTTCTCAGTTTTGCGTTCCTCTCCATAATGTTAGTCTCCTTGCTCTCCATTTCACTGACAGCAATTTTACGCACAATGTCTAATGCATTGAAATCGTTCCATCCGCACCCGAATGAACCTTTCAGGCCAGGAGGGAAACTAACCAAACTCTGCTTACCACTGGCATTCAGAATCTGTTTTTTGCTTTTTACATTTCCCGCAAAAGTAACGGAGATGTCACCCCCTCACAGCCGGCCGCCCAACTCTACAACATCAGACATGACTTAGTCAGCTTTCAGTTAAAGAAACCAGACAGAAAATCCTCTTACAGCAGATGCACTGACAACGGCTGCTGCTAGAGTAGACACACTACTATGAACTGTTCTTTAGCTGATTGTTAGTATTTCCACAGAGATTTTGAAAGTAAGGAAATGTATACAAGAAAACCATTGGAGTAGTACATAAATAGAAATATAGGTATTAATAAAATATATTTAGCTCAGCATTTAATATCTATCTATCTATCTATCTATCTATCTATCTATCTATCTATCTATCTATCATATGCTTGTCTTCACTCTGAGTTTCGTGATAATGCATGCACTTTTCAGAAGATTTGGTTGTATTTATTATTATTATTATTATCATCATTATCTATTTCTTGATATCGAACGCTATATTTACGAAGATAGTAACATTAAAAATTCCAGAATTACTCTGTTTGACTACTTTTTAAGTGAAATACGTTTGAAGTAAAAAAATGTCGGATTAAAAATAAATTCCTTAATCCTTTAAATATATATATATAATATATATATATATATATGCATACACACATATATATATATGACAAATATGACAATGATTTATACGAAATATAGTTTTCCGTATATATATATATATATATATATATATATATATATATATATCAAGGATGGGATTGGTGTACAGGGAATAAATTCCAATAACCAAAAAATTTCAATTCTTAAAAGAGTGCTCAATACAGAGTAGAGCAAATATAATCATTTATTCGAAAATTATAACATAAATATGTTATAAAATCCCTACAAAAATAGCCATTTTGTTGTAACACTTCTGGTGTCTTATCAAGTGATGGTGTTGAAATCAATCAAACACCCTTTGCTAGGGGAAACGCTGTTACATAAGCTGGAATGACCAATTAAAATACAAGTATACGAGAATTCAAAAAACCTGACAACCACCTTTGGTTACAATAATTATTTAATACTTTAATGTTAAGGTTAGACTAAAATAGAATTCATTCTAACTAATTAATATTAAATTATACTATAAAATTTAAAATTAAAATTTAGCAATTTTAAATTTAATCAATATTAAGTTTAAAAAATTAAAAAAATATTTAAATAAACTGAGTAAAAATGCATATGTTTTGTTATTTATTTTGTTTTTTATTGAAAGGACGATTTGGAATATATATATATATATATATATATATATATATATATATATGTGTGTGTGTGTGTGTGTGTGTGTGTGTGTGTATATATATATATATAAGTGTGTGTTTTGTATGTGTATTTATGTGTTTATATATATGTATATGTTTTTATATGTGTATATATGTATATATGTATGTGTATATGTTTGTGTATTTGTGTATATATATATATATATATATATATATATATATATATATATATATATATATATATATAGTTTATTTACTTTTTATGTTGCTGTGTAGGTTGATATATTTACATTTATTTCTATGTGTGTATATATGCATATGCATTTGGGTGTATGTATGTGCGTATGTATGTATCTTTGAATATATAGGTATATATATGTATATGTGTATATGTGTATGTATATGTTTGTGTGTAGGTATACTTTTGTATGTTTCTATCTGAAGTGAAGAATGTTTGTACGCATATGTCTATTTTTTATTTTCTTTCACATATTGTCATATATTTGTACTCGTGTATGTGTACTAATACGTATATAAGTATATATGAGATATTTATATATATTTCTGTGTTTAGAATTTTTCTTTTTATATATGAGTGTTATTTTCATGCGTATATATTTATTTTTCGATACATTTCTATATATTTTAGTGTCCTTTTTCCTGATGTTGTTCATTTATGTGTATGTCTTTATCAATGTATGTGTGTATAATTGTTTATATGTGCCTTTCATTGTATGTATATATTGTCTTTTTTTTTAAATGGCCGTGGATACCTATTTCCTGTCTCATCGCTTTTTTTGTGTATATCTAAATATCTAAATATATCTGCGTGTTTGTGTATTATAATTTGATTGCGTATGTATTGTCTTTTGCAAGATTTTACCTTCCCTTGACAATATCATAATTTCAAATGTTTCTAAATTGTAACGGAGCTCAGAGCAAAATTAGATTTTAACATTTATTCCAACTTATTTTTTGGCCATTCAATAAAACAAAATAAATAAAAAAACATATGTATTTCACTCAGTTTCTTTAAATAATTTTTAAAACTTGATACAGATTAAATTTAAAATTGCTAAATTTTAATTTTGAATTTTATAGTACAAATTAATATTAATTACTTAGAATGAATTCTATTTTAGTCTAACCCTCACATTAAAGCATTAATTAATTATTATAACAAAAGTTTGTTGTCAAGTTTTTTGAATTCTCATCTACTTGTATTTTGATTGGTCATTCCAGCTTATTTAACAGCGTTTCCCCTTGCGAGGGGGGTGTTTGATTTGAACTTTTTAAAACCCTTTATACTATATTCAACATCATCACTTGATAAAGCACCAGAAGGATTGAAAGAAAATGGCTATTTTGTAGTGATTTTACAACATATTCATGTTATAATTTTCGAATAAATAATTATATATATATATATATATATATATATATATATATATATATATATATATATATATATTATGATAAAAGAAAGAACAGTAAGATATATAATCTGGTGTTCTTATAGATATTTTTATTTTTACAAAACAGTGCTTAACGTAAATTTACAGAGCATAAATATTATAAATTAAATGATTTAAAATATGGTTTCTTCGCTACCCAGGAATTACCATGTTTCAAAAACCGAAGCTAAAATCTTCAAATTTAATTATATAACTAAATTAAAAGCATTAGTTCTGTTTCATTTTCAAGCGAATTTTGAATATATATATATATATATATATATATATATATATATATATATGGACAGAGAGAGAGAGAGAGAGATAGGTTTTCAACTCGTTTACAAAGATAATATCTATGTCTGCACGATAACTATGCTGCCCACTCAAAACCAGAAAGGCTTTTAAAATCTCTCTCTCTCTCTCTCTTTCTACGTACCTATGCGTATATGATTAGCGTAGATTTGTTTCTTTCTCTCTATCTTTCGTTCGAACTTCTGACATTGCATTTATATGCTTGATTATATATCGACCAAAGCAGAATGAACAAACTATGATCAATATAATCCATTTAATTCATGAAATCTAGCCAGAGCCATAGAGCCAGAGCCGTAGACCGAATTTCCAAACTAAGATTATCCATTTATTTCCTGCCGTTGTTGCTCTATCAATCTTTGTATCTTCTCATTCTCACCCTTGTCCCTGTCAGTCTTCATTACCTCTTCATGGTTTTATCTTAATATTCTACAAATATCAGAAGTTAACAATTTGATTATACTGTATAGGTACACTCATCTTTTTTTTGCTCTGTCTCTCCATAAATACTTTCAATTTATCGCAATTTTTGTCCCTTTCTCTATTTATTTGCTTTTCAATTATTCTCTCTCTCTTTTTTACATTATATATTTCTCTCTATATATATATATATATATATATATATATATATATATATAAAGTGTGCTATATTTATGGGATAAAGTGCTCAATGTTAGAGATAGAGCGTATGCAAATATCAAAGTGAACATTGCTGTCAAAGCCCAGTGCTAACAGTCTGTTTCATGCTTAAACGCAGTCTTCAGACTATCTATCTATCTATCTATCTATCTATATATATATATATATATATATATATATATATATATATATATATATATATATATATATATATATATATATATATATATATATATATATATATATATATATATATATATATATATATATAATAAAGGAAGGAAATGTGTTTTATAAAACTGAAATGTCATTTACTCTAAACTGACGAATTATGCGATTTGTATCATGCGGCGCAAAAGTGCTCAATATCAGAGATGGAGCGTATATAAGTGTAAAGGCCTGATTATTGCGTCTAGTATGAAACAGTCTGTCGCTTCTGAGTGTTGACTTCAATCTTCACTTTTATATATATATATATATATATATATATATATATATATATATATATATATATATATAATATCAAATCCGTAAGTAGTAAGGATAATCCAAGTATTTTTAATATAAAATCTTAAAAAGATAGATCCATGAAGAGAGCTCAATGTATTTATATACAGAGCAATATAATATGCATCAAGAAGAAAAAACTTAACACACCATCGAAGAATTCGGTTATAAATTTATTTCGACCGATAAATTTTTATCATCTGCCTCATCAAACCAAAATTACAAAATAGGTTAAATTTATCTCGATAATTTATCAAAAATTATTTTAGAATTAAATCACAAAAGAAAAGGAATTAAATGTCTAAATTAATTGTCCTAGAAAATAATTCCTGTAGATTACTTATGAGTGAAATAATAAATAATATTAATAAATAATGAATAAGCACTTTCAGATAATGAATGTTTCCTGTTTGTTATGTCGTCAGTTTAGTTTTTTAAATATCGCTTTTCACGTGATTTTTTTTTTTGTTGCGTTTCGCGTTTTCTCGTGGATTTTTCGCATAATCACTTGAAATTTCGGGTTTTCTACATTATGTGTGTGTGTGCCTGTTTATGTTAATATATTTTCAACTGTTTTTTTTTACGTAATAACTTTCCTCCTCTTATTCCTTTGATCTCTTCTTGGCTTTTCCCGATTCTTTCTCATTGAGGTTTCTAGGTATTCTAACCTAACAGAATAAATAGTTATTGAACAGATACAACACTTTGATCGTTGGTAGAAAAGCATAACGACTGAACATAAAATCAAGCAGAATATTAATATAGATATTTTTTGTCTCTTATAATTTCAGGGAACAATCGTGGTTGCTTTTTTATTTATTTATTTAAGCCAGATCCGCTCCTGTTTCTTTTCGTTGTCATTGCCGATTGCAGCATTTGTACATATCAAAGCTTCCTATGTTTCCAAGGTGTAGAAATAGTCCCGAAATCGGCAAGTATGACGTAATAATTGAGCTATTTATTTCGGTTGCAAGTGGTGGACGCCAGTGTGGTTAGTGGCTTCGGGAAAATGAAAAGTTTCAGTCCATCTTGACTAGGGTGTGAGATTTGGCTTGCTGGAATGATTAAGTACATTAGATACTTGCTTTGGTGTGTTGGCCTGCTAGAAACGCGTAGACATTTTCCATACTTTTCACGTCAGAACAATTTCAGAACTGCCTCATCAAGTAGAATTATTAATCAGATCAAATCAAGCCCGAGTTAAGTTTAACGATTTCT